TTGAATTTTAAGTGAAATATTTTTGTGATTTTCGTAAATTGTGAGATATAAACGACATTATAAGTGATATTGTTGGAGTGGCTTTAGATCTCCTCTCCCCTTTTTTGGAACTTCGTTCATGTTATAAATGTATCTAAAAGTGATCAGATTATTGATTCAGTGAGTAATTAATAGAACTAAAAAAATCAGAAACTTGCACAGCTAATTTATTTCTTCAATGAAGGTAGAAATCAGTATGCGGTTAAAGGCTTGTGATTGATAAATCTATAATCACATTGCGCAGTTGAGTATAGTAATACATTGTGTGAGCTTTGTTTATTTGATTATGGCAGAACATCCGGGTCTTCTCCGGGATTCGAGCCCCGGCCCTTCAGCACAGCGGTCAGCAACGCTAACCACTATAACCAGGCACACGAGAGATATCTGCCTGACGGGAAGGATGCCTTCGTGGAGGACGTTCTAAGAGAAACTGGCTCGTATACATGTTACACATAGCGAAAAGCACGAAAACGCCCACGCAGATAGCCCGTTCGCCACGATTCGAACCCCGGACCGATTTACCAGTGTTCAGCGACTTGATCAGTGATTGTCGCTCGGTTTCTGGTGGGCTACATTGTGTGAGAAGTAAAGAAATGTAACAGATTCATTTTTGGTCGGTGCGTAAACGATAATATCTCGGTTCCAATATTTGTAGAAGTTACCATGTAATCATATGTCATCAAAAGTTAAATAAAATCCAAACTATTACACGTATGGTGTTTAAATCGCTCAATATGTTTAGCAGTGCGTGATTTTAACATTCAAGAGCTTTTAATATTAGGATGTTTTTTGAGACGAATTCGTCAGTTATGCATGTGGCAACAAAACATTTTACGTTTGTAAAGACATAGTTTTTCATACACGTCCAATTTTTTTTATTAATATTAAGTCATATTCTAATTTTTTTTTCAAAATTCACTTTTGGAATTGATTTTTTATTTCTGCATGGTGCTACTGGACATTGAATGAGGTTTTTATCTTTAGTTCTGAAATTCTAGCTGACAGTTTCCACAGATTTATAACATCCGTGCAATGGTATCAAGAGCATTTGCGACGCTTATCGGAGATTTCGATGTGTGACTTGGACGATAGCGGTATTTTACGGGATTATGGCTGTCAGTAAAGCTGTTCAAAATTAGAAAAGAGTGAGAACATACGTCACAAGCTGCCCCGTTTATGAAAATATGTGCTTTTAACGTAGACCTTTTTGTAGTAGAATATCAATAACAATAGGAGGAAATAAAGAACTCATATTTGGAACAAAACTTAGTTTGTTAAAATTCAATTATGGAAATGGAGTTTCTTACGTACTTTAACGGTCGGCGTGTTGTTTATGTAAATGGCCCTGTGTGGACATCCTGTTTTCACCACATCCTCTCAACTAATATCCTTTATCTCTTTTTTGTAGGAGTTCACTTGCTTCTTTTCACATTTCATTGTATGTTCCTGTATTGTTGATATAATTGCTTTATTACAGCCATTCCTCTTTTACTGAATTGAGGATAAGCGCTTCTTTATCCTGTAAATATTTTTGTTTTGTACGCTGTCCACGGATTCGAGCTTTACCAGGCTGTCTGACGTCACTGACGTTATTGGTGGCATTTTTGTAGAGTTCCACCAGTTATAAAGAGATATTTGACTTGATGGAAATTTATTTCATGTCCTGAATTGTTATGTTGTAACAAAGAACTTTGTAGAACTTCTACAACTTATCTTCCTCTGCCATCTCGCTATTATTTTGAAAAGTAACTGAGAATAGTGTCCATTAAGAACTTGAACATTGGTTTCAGTTTATGATACCTGTTGCATTGCATCCTTGCTACTTGTTGAAAAGGTTATAGAAGGGACTTTCATTGTTTTAGTGTCAGTGTCAAGTACACTTTTTTAAAAGTCGGAAGCCTGTGTAATTTGGAGTCTCTCGAATTGCTTTAGGACGTCATGTTACGTTATATTATCGTGCCGCTTATTATCTTCGTGGTATTTGTTGCCTTTGTACGAGGCATAAGATTTTATCTTCCATTCGGCCTTGTAAAGACCAGTTTCCTTAGCGTTGCCATCTGACTTAATATCTTCATCTTTCAAATCATAATTGCTTAACCAGCTGAACGAATTTATGAATAATTTTTAAAATTTTTATTTGTTTAATATTATATCTAATTTACGTAACTTAAAAAACATATTTGATTTATAATGTATCAGTTTTCTTATTAATATTTTTAGCATTATTGTTATTAATAAAATATATTTTTAGCATTATATATTGCATACCATTGGAAAGAACCATTTGGTGCCTTTGTGTTTTAAATTTAAATAGTAGTTTATTTAACCAATCGAGAAGTGTACGGATCTGTTCTATATATATATCGTGTCCACAAAAGTCCTGATTCGACGTTTATTTTAGCAACCGTTGATAGTTGGCATATGCTTCCATTAGCAGAAAAGTTTTAAATGACACAGAGAGTCATTTTCAAGTTATAAATTTAAAAAAATAATAATCTTGTGTAAAATATGAAATTTAACTAAGTATACTTTCCTCCGATCCGTATACTTATATTTAGGAAAGTTTTATACTCGTTATAAAAATAAAACACAAGTTTTGACTCCCGTACGACAAAAATTATTGACCGAGGTATTTAATGTCAAAATTTGATGCCATTTTGAATTTGTATTGAGGTTTTGGTATCCTCCTTAAATGACGTTTAGTGATATTCTTTTGTGATAATTTTGTTTAGATTCAGTTTGCCGAAAGGAAATTCACGCGAGTAATTAAAAATTTTTTAGAGTCTAAAAATACGTTTGGTAAACGTAAAAAAATTCTTTGAATTGAAATATTTTTCATTTTTAATTGGTGCAAATAATATTGTAAGTTGGCTATGCGCCGATACTAAAGCTTTCCAATGTTTTATAGAACACGAATTTTATAAGATTCTGTGGATAAAAATCTGGGTTTTGCGGAAGGAGGGATTGATCAATATTTTTGCAATACTCTACATAGAAATGACCATCACGTAATATCATACAGAAAGCTTTTTCAAAGTGATATTTTAAGTCTAGTTACTTACAGTTGCAAACATTTCGCTCGTTAGTTTGTGTACGGCCCTTGAATATGATTCCCGAATTTAATATCAACTATCTTGGTAAATTTTGATCGTCCGGAAGTTAAACTTGTGTTTTATTTTTTATAACGAGTACAAAGTGTAGTAATCGAGGAACGTGCAGGAAGTTATTAAATTTTGTATTTTATACGAAATTAATTTTTTTAATTTAAAAATAAGAAAATACGAACCTTTGCGCCATTTAAAACGTTTTCGTAAATAGAGGTGTGTCTACGACCAATGTTTTCGAAAATAAGGCCTGGGTAAGGACATTTATTTATTTGTGATGTAATTTACTCGGTGTAATTCATGATACATCTATTTATCTGATTTATAATACGTATTACTGATAATTTTTATGAACATTTTATCCGTGACTGTAATTAATAAAATATGTTTTTAACGCTGTATATTGCATACCTCGGTGCAGAATAATCCTTTGCACTCCGTCCTAAGAGTTAAGTTTTCCCGTCTGACTGTAACTTTACACCATGAGTCTGGTGTTCCTTTTATGTATGTATATTATCCGCTTCAGGGTTCACTCAGTTTTATCACACCTACAAGTTTTGACGCATTAGCGGAACACTCCACCTGTCTATCTGGAGTGGGGGCACTTGAGCTTTGACGCAAGCGCGCCCCCTCCATTTACACTTCCCTATTCCTTTACCGAACTTTTATTAACTTTCCTTCTTTTTGAGAACGGGTTTCCACTTCATTGTCATGATCCTCAAGAGACTTTTCGTTCGTTGATACTTTTGAATTGATTAGCCTTAGTATTATGAGAAAAACTTATAGTTTTATAACAGAGAACTCAAAATTATCCGAAGTATTATGTCGATGGATGAATGCTGTTTGAAGTCGTATAAAACGGAATAAAAATTAAAGGATTGAAAATAATGGATAAAGTTTCTTCAGTTTATATGGTAACGTATGATTTCTGAGTCTCTTTTCGTAGCTCGAGCAAAAGCAAATTATGAGCAGTTGTATTATTGTATTTACTTTCAAGGGAAAAGCTTTATCCCGCATGAGTTAAAAAACCTTAAATAGTAACATAAACAAATTGTTCTCTGGTGCATTTAAGCATTTTACCAAATGTCAGACGTATCAATAATCAGTTTCTTACATCACATCATAACACACTACCATGGCCATTATCCGCGCATCTTCGATTTTGCAGATTGTGCGAATTGTTTCTTCTCATTACAAGATGTCCTACGAACAGCCAAGACACCTGAAGATCGCTGAATAATAATAATTCGACGCGAATTCGAACCCAGGTGAACATGCTGGCTGCGCAGTTGCTTTTCGTGGTTTTCCCCATATATAACATGAACTCGAGCCCTTAGAAGGGTCCTCCACGAATCCTTCCTCTTAGACAGAAATAGTTCATGTATTAGTTTTTATAGATAATTTAAGATACTTTTCATCAAATTTTATGATTTTTTTTAAATTTAAAATCGAAATTTTTTGTGCAAAGGTTTTTTTCTATCATAACCGTCCTGTTATGCAACCGAATGTCACTGGGGGCTATGTCTTTCCGTAGTTCAACGGACATAATCCGTAGGACATAATCTATCAATGAACTTGTACCTATATATCATCTCGGGGGCAGATTTCACAGCCCACTATTTTTGTATGTAAATATGGCGCAATAAAAAAGTGTACATTTCAAAATAAACATATATACTTTGAATTAAATAAAAGAAATCATTAAACAAAATTAGAAATGACTTTCTTTAGAATTGATTCAGTTCTAGTTCAGCTTCAGATAAGTGAAGCTTAAATAAATGCTAATATTCATTTGTGTGCGCATCCGTGAAAAGGGTTTGGACTGTAACTCACCTGCACGTATTTCTTCATTTTCAGCTAAAACATCCAAGATGCTGTGAGGTCTGATTACTCGAGAATGAGTCCAGGTCCCACGCCGACTCCCTCGGGCCCTCTCAGGACCCCCCAGGGTAAATGCCTCACCGTAGGGGGTCGGGCCGATGGTGGATTTCTACAATATTCTCAACTATTAAATCCTCGCAACAGCATGTCTATTACGAACACTAAGGGCTTGCTGAATATGCCTGGCCAGAATAACTGCTTCCTCAACAGCGCCGTCCAGGTATGGTTTATATTTATTTATTTTTATTTATTTATTATTATTTTTGCTAACAATGGTTTGCCGTTTGCCACGGTATGAAATGAAAGTAATTTTCTGTCTGCCAAAGCCGACATTTTAGTATAATTGAATTTTGTTGTATGCCTTTTAATAATGCTGCTTTTTGCGACTGGAAAATATTTACTCATCTATGTGTCTTTTTTTGTGCATGTTATCTCACGAAAAAACCCCAAAACAACTTGCTGTCTTATGTCGTAATTCTTGTTCTATCATAATCCGTTTCATGTTGTGCTTATTCTTCTTAAATATGTGTTTTGCCATACTCTTATTTCCGTTTCGTTTTGAATGCATATTACTGTGTGTGTCTCATGACACTCTAATCAGAGAGATAAAAATTGTCTGTGCTACATGATTGAGACCTTAATTCACTAGCTGGTCGTTTACAGAAGTCAGTAGTATAGGCATACCCACTTTGCGAATTCTTTGTTTACAAAATTTAGAGTTAGAAAGTTATTATGTTTCGGGGGGGGGGAAAAATAAGAATATTTGGGGGTGGGCGGAGAAACAAAAAGTGTTCAAATTCTTTTAATTTTTCACATTTTCATTTCATTAATGATTTGGAATTGTATTGTTGCAGTCTCCAAGGCAAAATTTGATTATAATTATTGTGCTTTGGGAAGGAATTACTCCTTGGAAAAAATTCGTGTAAAGGAAATATTCCTGTATATATAGTGATAAACTTCTAACGAGCATCATTAATTGTATTCATATTAGATTAATACTATGTTGAGAGAACCACTTGTAGCTGTATTTATATCACATTACTTTAGTAATACTTGTAAGCTTTCTTAGATTATCTGTTTTAAGGGAAGTACTCGAAATTGTAATCATACTTCCGTTTGCCTATTTTTGAAAATGATGAGAAGATAATACTTGATAATGCAAAATGTATGCACTTGCATTTTAATAAGTTACTGCCATTCTTCTTCAGCTTTATTTTGTTTTGTTAGAAACTAACAGGTAATAGTGTAGACGTTTTTGTTAAATTATGAAAACAATAAAATCTTAATTATTATTATTAATTAACATTAAGATATTTGAATGAATGTGGAAGGCTTCAAAGGGATCTAGATTTTCTAAGTGCTATTAAGATTATTTTAAAAAGATTAAAATTTTCTAAAAGGCTGATTTAGGTACCGAACCCAGAATGATAAGCGTTTGAAGACGTCCTGTTTTTTCCATTACTGACATACGAATTGTGGTGACATCTGAAAATTCTTATCGTTTTAGATATGTGTTAAATCATATTGGCAATATAAAGTTTAGGTAGAGCTAAAAACCTGATGTAAGGTCCTCAAAAACAGATTAATGAGTTCAGTTAAGAAGAGATTAAAGTAACATGTGAGATGAAGTAAAAAAAAAGAAAAATACTAGCAATTTTTTATCTAATAGTAAGCAAAGATGTATTTGGAGGGGGCATAGGAATCTAGTAACAGAAAAGTTTAAGCTCGAAAACAAGTTTTAAATGATCAAAAGTAGTTTTGTTTAAAAGCTGTTTTTTTATCCTTTGCAATTTTTTTTTTTTTTTTTTTTTAATTTTCCCGGTCTTTGACTTCACTATTTTCTTTACTTCTGTTGTAGCCATTACTTCGTTTACCCATGATCGTACTACTCAAAAATTCTCTGATCGTAGTTTCGTATATTTTTTTACGAATGAAAAGATAAGAGCATCTCGTTTGTTTCTGATTTCTTTGCATTCTCCGTGTACGTTCACAGTGTTTAACCCCTGCCATGTAGTAATGGCGGTGGGAAGGGGGAGAACTGACTCGAAGGTTATTTTTTTTTTAAAGGTCAGGTGTGTAGTTTATGTATTATTCAATAAATGCGTTCTCAGTGCCATATAACCTCCTGCTTTAAAAGATTTGTTGGAAGTTTTTTACATCACGTGATAATCAAGAACATATTTCAGGTGCGGTGCATGCAAATGAAATATAGTGTTTTCTCTTTCTTCTGCATATTTTTATCAGGTTGCCGTGTTCAGCTTTTTAATATCAATCTGGAGAAACCTGGCCTTTTCCAGATTGATTAATGTACTGCTTATCAAAGAATATATTGGACTTTACTAGGCTGCTAATTTTTTCTTCAGATTATGTGCGCAAAATTCCATTGATGTAAACTTTAATAAAAATAAAAAAAAAAAATAATAAAAAAAAAAAAATAACAGTTTGGTCAGTTAATTAATGAAAATACAGTAGTGCACTGATAATCTTTGATTTAAATTCTTAGGGACTAGAAAAAATTTGGTGATTTCGGATAAGAGATTTTTTTCTGGTTAATTGAATATATATTTCTAGAGCTTACTTGTTCACCTTTTATGATGCCATCTGTAGAAATTGCAGTATGCGAAATCTGCCGGTCGTATTTTATCCTCCTTGATTAAATAAATATCGAAAATCATATACATTATTTAAAATTAAAATACAATATATATATCTATATAATACAAAAAATACAAAATGTTTGTTTATATAACATGATTTATATTTCAGAAAAATAAAATTATATAACATTTTAAAATTACCTTATTTATTATGAAATGGAAGTTAAACGAATTTTTCATATGATGGCAAATAACTTCGAATGCCTACGTGAGTACAAGACTGTCGCTGTAATTAAAAAAATTCTCAGTGTAGACAAAGAAGCTTCAGAACATTGTACACTGACATAGATGAACATTTCTCACCAAATCTTATGAAGAACTGCAATCCCTCATCAGTTCTCTTCCAACTTTCTTACTCTGCAGTTCGTCTTTATCTTCATCCTCCTTCTCCTCCTCCTCATCATCTTGTCTTTTCCACGTACATGTCCAGTTATTTCGTCGTCATCTTGCAAGTGAGACAGGAAAAGAATTGACTACATCTATCCAATCCTTGATCTCCTCTTCATTAAACGCTAATCTTCTCCAAACATCTAAATAAACCCAAAATGTCAGATACAAGCCCTAGGCCTGTTTTAAAATCAAAAAGTTGTTGTCATTTGACGCGTCTTCTTGAACATGATCACAGGTCACAACTTCACCAGCAGCGACGTAAAGTACAGATATAAAGTCTTTACATCTTTTGAGGCAAGCGTCAAAGCAGTTGCATCTTTCAGTCTGAATTATTTTTTAGAAGTCAGGCTTACCAGCGGCCGAGCGTTAAAGTCACTAACACTGGTAGTTCAATCTGGGGTTCGAATCTCGGTGAGAGGGCTGGCTGCATGGGCGTTTTCGTGGTTTTTCGTATGTGTGACGCGTATACGAGCCAGTTTTCCTTGCGAAGTCCTCCACGAGTTCCTGCTCCCAGGCAGATAGCTCTCTAGTGTGCCGTCAAATGAACAAGACCGAACAAACGTTTCTGAAAGTCATGAACAACATTCTCAAGCGGCACGTAAAAAGGGGTACGTAATTCATCTTTGTATTGGACAATTCATTGGCTGCAGAAAGCTTGTTACATTGAGTGGCAGAAATATAGTATAGATGTTGTCAATGTGTTAGTCTCCGGATTTTATTTTTTTATCTCATAAGTCTAAATTTAAATTTACACTTTGGAAAAGTGTCTTTATTTTGATGTCGCCGGTTACAAGGGATTTTACCATACTTAAAATCATCATTTAAAGGGATTTTCTGAAGGAATGACGAAAACATTTTCTCTTGTCCTTTGTCAATAGCAGTATTTGTCAATAGCATGTGAAAAGTAGGATATACAGTAGTCTTTACTGCTATTGACATCATCCTTTGTCAATAGAAGTAAAGACTATATATCCTACTTTTCACATGCTTGTGTCTTTTAGTAAATTACTCTTATTTTTCTTTACAAGGAATTCCTATTTATTCTATATTGAGTTGCTGTTTCAAACGTTGATCTGTCATAATATTTTATTTAAGTAATTTGGCATTAAGAGAGTTGTAAAGTTTAAAAGCTTCGCCAGAAGAGTTAAATGAAATCTTTAACCTGAGAGTTAAAGTTATGTATTTCCAACATGGAGCAAAATTTTTTACATGCCATAAATATCGTAACAATAAAATGTGATAACGTTCTCTCATTAATTACTCAAAAAAGACTTGAGTCACGGCTTATAGGCAGGAAATGTTGTAAACACCTTTCTTGTGTTATTTAATAGAGTAACGCAGACAGAGAATTAGATTAGACTGGACAGCGTCTCATCAGAAGTGCGTGTTATTCTTGGAAAATTTGTGAGATAAATGTATGGATTTAAGAAATATGAAATAATATTCATACATTCGATATAAATACATAAATACATTCGATTTTTTCTATTCGAATTGTCCTTGTGCATTCTTTGTGGGCCCTAAATTCTGCTGCCCGGTGCCTTCCTAAATTCTAAAAATTTTGCCGCTTGTAAATTAAAGTGCACAGTGCCTCTCCTATAGTCTATAAATTTTGCTGCACGATATTTCTCTAAATTCCAGCAATTCTGCCGCTTCTAAATTCTGTCGCTCCGTGCCGCCGCACGGGTTGCACCGGCCCTACTATTTATTAAATATCATGTTCTTTGCACTTAAACCATAAAATTCAGTTCAATAGCAATGTCGCAAAATAATTTTAAAATGAGCATATTTTTAGAATTTCCGATACACAGTTCCGCACGTTGGAGATAAAAAGGTTCCCCCCCCCCGTAGAATGTTGCCATTGCTCTCTTTGACATCCTTGAGTTTGTTAATCAAAAATTCGTTAAAGTTTTACAAAATATGAAATTGATAATAAAACAAATTCCAAATTTGGTCTTCCACATGCCCATATTCGTAGGAGGATTACGTCATTCAAAATTCGATGGCTCTATGTACCGTTGTTTTATCACAATGCGAGAAATATACATACATTTATGCAGATTTTTCATTATTTAATTTCTTCAAGCATAATGCAGGACTGTAACATTTGGTGGTAACAGTTTGAAAAGTGAAAAGGGCAGTTATAGTGATTCAACGCAAAATCGCAAAACGA